AGATAATCAAAATTTTCCACATTCTTTCTGTAAACATAGCGGAAAGATTTTATTATTTTGTATTATTATACGCAACGTGGAAATCACTATGAACACAATTCCTTTCTCCGACGTTAGCCATCTGTCTGAGGAAAGCTTCAATGTTAAATGTTATGCTGTGACAACATTCGATGTTAGTCGTGATGCCAAGAAACGTACATCGGAGACAGACATCAGGACGAGATACATCCTCTAATGTCAGCAATCTGTTCGAGAAACGACCTTTGACGTAAGACGTCTTGCCGAGAACATCCTTCAATGATAGTCGTGATGCCGAGAAACGGAAATCGATGAGAGATTAGGTTGAGATACATTCTCCGAAGTTAGCCATTCGTCCGAGAAACGACATTCAATAATGGAAGTCATGCCGAGAAACATAATTCGTTGTTAGTTGTAATGGAGTGAAACGGCCTTTAATGAGAGCTATTAGGCCGAAATAAAACCTTTGATGTAAGCCATCTGCACGAACTTCTATTTTACACGTCATGACCGGTAACGTACGATGTTAGACGTAATGAGAAGAAACGACCTTCAATGACAGCTATCAGGACGAGTTACATTCTCCGATGTTAGCAATCTATCCGAGAAGCGACCTTTGATGGTAGACGTCATGCCGAAAAATATTCTCCGATGATAGTCGTGGTACCGAGAAAGGTTCAATGACGACCATCTGACTGAGACACAGACTCCAATTTTTGCCATCTCCCAGAAAAGCGACTTTCGATGTTGGTTTTTATGCCAAGGAACGTTCTTCGTGTCAGCCGAGATTCCGTGGAATGGCATTCGATGACAGATATTAGGCCGATATACATCCTTCAATGTTGGTCATCTAACCGAGAAGCGACTTTGGATTCTAGACGTCATACCGAGAACAACACTTCGATGGCACCCGCGATACGGACTTCTCTAGTAGGCATCATGCCGAGATGCGTCATCTCACGTTAGAGATATTCCGAGAAGCAACATTTGATGTTAGACGACTTTCCGATAAGCATGCTTCGATGTTAGTCGAAATACGGAGAAACGGCCTTCGATAGCACGACTAAGGTCGAGATATATAGCTCGAACTTAGCTATCAGACCGAGAAGGGACCATCGATATTAGACGTCATGCCGCGAAATATCATTTGATATTACACGTGAATCAAAGAAAAGGGCTTCGATGACAGCCATCAGGACGGGACACATACTCCGATCTTAGCCATAAGGCTGAGAAGCGACTTACGAT